CGTACGTTCTATACTGATGCAAATAAATCAGGGAAAGCAGGTTACAAGTCAGATGAATTGAGTAAGGTGGAACAAAGCCCTTATAATTCTGTCCAGAAGGCAGAATTATATGCCATTCTTATGGTGCTAAGGGATTTTAAAGAACCTCTTAATATAGTTACAGATTCACAATATGCAGAAAGAGTTATCTTGCATATTGAAACCGCTGAATTTATACCAGATGACACAGAGTTGACTTCACTGTTTATCCAGGTACAAGACATAATCAGGAACAGGCTTTGTCCGATGTACATAACACACATCCGGTCCCATACAGGTCTGCCTGGTCCTCTAGCCCAAGGCAATGCTGAGATTGATCAATTATTGATTGGAAGTGTGTTGCAGGCCTCGGAATTTCATAAGAAGCATCATGTCAATAGTAAAGGCCTAAAGAAAGAATTTTCCATTACTTGGCAACAAGCTAAGGACATTATAAAGAGATGCCCTACTTGTTCTTTCTATAATCAAACACCGTTGCCTGCAGGGAGTAACCCAAAGGGTACTAAGAGAAATGAAATCTGGCAGATGGATGTGTTCCACTTTATGGAATTTGGTAAATTAAAATATGTACACCACACCATAGACACGTATTCAGGTTTTCAATGGGCTACTGCCCTGAGCTCAGAAAAGGCTGATTCAGTAATCACACATTTATTGGAAGTTATGGCCATCATGGGTATACCTGCGCAAATAAAGACAGATAATGGTCCAGCATATGTATCTAAGAAAATGAAACGCTTTTTTGATTATTATAATATAAAACACATTACAGGTATACCAAATAATCCTACAGGTCAGGCAGTTATAGAAAGATCAAATCGTACTATAAAGGATATGCTGAACAAACAGAAAGGGACTGAAAATACCCCCAGAAATAGATTACATAATGCTTTATTAACCTTGAATTTTCTTAACGCTAATGAGAAAGGAACAACAGCAGCAGAAAGACATTGGATAATGGAAAAGTCTGCTGAACTAAATCAACCGATTTATTTCAAAGATGTGCTGACCTCTCAGTGGAAGCCAGGAGATGTGCTACGTTGGGGAAGGGGTTTTGCTCTTGTTTCCACAGGAGAAGAAAAATTGTGGATACCATCAAAATTAATAAAGTTTCGATTTGAAGAGGAGAAACCTCTTGGAAAGGAGAAATGACAACTCATCCACAACGATGATATTCATACAGGTGGTAAGAAAAACATATAGAATGGGGGCAGGGTTCTGTTCTTATCTCCACAGGAAAACACTCATCTTTGAGAAATTCAAGGGACCCTGGATGTTTGGATACTGACAAATGGAAAAATACCTGCCCAATAGGAAATATGAAGACAACTGAATGGATTGTGTAAGTAATATTAAACCATATTTCTAAATTTTTATAAAGCTGGTTTTGAAGTTGGACTTTGGCTCAGTCCCTCTCCAATTCCAAGCCTGTTAGTAAGAGAAAAACCCAGAGTTTCTGGAGTTTCTGTCTCATGTCAAGAGCCATGATATGGGACAGAAAGAAATATGAGTTTAGAAAACATCTTTGCTTTTCTTCATATCTATCATACTTTTCATTGAATATATCTATCATGTCTTTCATTGAATATATATATATATGTTTATATATGTCTATATGATTAATGTTTAAGTTTTTCATAATGAACAATGAGTTTTTCCTGAAGTGACATTTGAAGTTTCCAGGAAGAAGATGGGGCCCCATAACAACAACTCCACCTGGTTGATATGACGTCATGATGCTGATAGCGCTACTACAAGACCTGCTTTTGGTACCAGCTGCACAAGACAGTTCCAACTTGGTTAGCTGAAATGGTGCACATCTTATACAACATTTTGGCCAGACCTGCACAAAATACTCAGAGACTATTGGCAATTTTAAAAGACATTGATCTTGAAATTTAACCATCATTTCACTTTCACAGGATCCCCCAGAAAGAACGTCGCCCCCATGACAGCTGGAAGTAATTCTAGAGGACGACGTCCCCTTTCCCAGTAAAACTTGCCCTTGGGTTTAGGGACATCATTTAGGGGTTGATTATAATTAGTACACGATTGAGGGTTGGGGGAGGAATTTTATACGCTCAGGGATCATTTAAAAAAAAAAAAAAAAGAGGGATGATGGGATAATAGATTTGTAATTGTGAGTTACTGTTTTTAGACAAATACATTGGTATAGATTCTTGTATATTGATACAAAGTTAAATTATATTGACTATTGTACGCATGCATGTTTCTACCTCTGTTTAAAACATTTTTTTTATGTATTGACATATATTGTATTGATATATATATATATTGTATATATTTACCATATTGCAGTGTACATTTCTACCTCTGATTAAGATACTTATATAATGATTGTGTATTGATATATATTTGCCTACTGCAATGTATATTTGTACATTGTTTATATTTGGAGGTCATTGTCCTCATTTGTTTCACAGTCGTTTATTGTCTTAGTCTTTAAGTTAGATAGATATTGAGAATTATATAGACTAATAGTCATCTAAGTTTGTCATTTATAATAGACTAATCAGGTTCTTTAGATATATAGAGATTATACTCAGTATAGATAGATAATCTTCAACTTCTTCAAAGAGCTGTAGAAAATGGCCTTTAATCTAACTCAGAGTTTTGTGGTAGTGAGACACAATTGCTCCTGGCAACACCACTCTATTCCCGAGAGAATGTTGAGCACCAAAGACACTCCACCTGGAGCCTTTCTTTTTGGCAGAACTGGCGTTTGGGCAAAGAAATGCCCATACCTCAACAACTGACAAAGATACAGAGCATGCATCAATGGATAAAACAGGACTGTCATATCCTGCCAAGACAGGGTAAGATAGTTTTGAAAAGTTGCTTGCCTTAGAAAATGGTATGTCAGTTATGTTAGGCCTTAGCCAAAGTTGGTTGCTTCAACGCTGCTAATGTGACTTTGGGTGATTGCCCAGGTAGCTAGTTGTCTCTGTAATTTGTTGCATGTTTTGGAAGTTGTTCTACTGAACTTCCTAATTACCCAGGTAACATTATTTCCCTTCTCAGATCTTCGATGGGGTTGAAGACTATATAAATGTAGTTACTTTCTCTCATGACTTGGCCAAGTTATTTATTATACAAGACCTAAGCTAGTTAGAATAGGATATTTGTACTTATTGTATATAATTTCATAGTAGGTTTAGAACTCTCTTATTTAAACAAAAGGGGGAGGTGTTGCGGGAGGTCCTCCCACTCCTCCAGCCTATCACCGCTGAGGTACCAGCCCACTGGGGCGTGGTTTCTCTCCCTTTAAAAAAGCGGCCACTTCCCTCTTCTCTCTCTCTTCACTTCCTGCTCCGCCTGCGACTAGACTCCTTTCCTGGTTGCAAAGAGGGCTGTTGCCTGGGACAGTGATCTGTAAGTTTTTTCCCCTTTAAATAAATACCACCCTAATAATCATAACCCCGAATTGGTGTGGCATTGTTTGTGACTTACGCCTTCACCATACTGGTTCAGATTCCAGATAGACTCTCAGATTTCAAACTATGTTGGCAGACAGGAAGATGTAAGTTTGGTGGCGAATTCATCAGGTGGCAATAATGAACCGGTCGTCCTTGCCAATGACTGTCTACAGATGAGAATGGGCCCTCGGGGTGGCTCTGCCATTCCAGATCATCACGGAACCCACAAACTTGGTAACCTCAGTCTAAAGCTAGCTGTCACTTGTCATTTATCCTCTACTTTGTTACCTGACCCTGAAGGACGGATGAGTCCAAGGCAGACTGGCCCCATGCTCTCTCTGTGAGTCTCTGTTCAGGGCTGCCATGAGGACTGAGAGTTCGCGTTTCAAATGGACTCCTGTGTGGTTATGGTGCGGCAGGATGGGGAGCCCGCTTTGAGAGCCACCATGCTATCTCAACACACAGTTTATCTTGTGGATGACACCACTGACTAAAAATTTCTGTACATAGCCAGGCAGAGTTGGAGCACACCTTTAATCACAGCACTCGGGAGGCAAAAGTTGGCAAATCTCTGAGTTCAAGGACAGTCTGATCTACAGACAGAGCTCCAGGGCAGTCAGGGCTACGCAGAAAAACCCTGTCTTCAAAAGCAAAAACAAAATAAACAAATAAAAAGTTGGTGTGACTAGTTACTTGATTACTGTTTATCTGTCACAAGTCCCTGTCAAAGGCCTTTCCCTTTGGACACAGTGCTTCCAAGCTGGGAACTGCCCGCAACAGGACTCAAGACTGAAAGATGCTGTCCCTGACATGTGCTGGGAAGCGTTAAAATGCCTGAGGTGTTTCGGCTACCCTAAAGGGATGTACTCACTCATATTTGGTTTCTAGCCATAAATAAAGGACATTGAGCTTATAATTCATGTTCCTAGAGAAGCTAAATAAGAAGGTGAATCCAAAAACAAACACATAGGCATCCTCAGGAATATTAACCTTCATCAGGCGATGAAAGGAGACAGAGACAGAGACCCACACGGGAGCACCGGACAGAAATCTCAAGGTCCAAATCAGGAGCAGAAGGAGACGGAGCACGAGCAAGGAACTCAGGACCACGAGGGGTGTACCCACACACTAAGACAATGGGGATGTTCTATTGGGATCTCACCAAGGCCAGCTGGCCTAGGTCTGAAAAAGCATGGGATAAATCCGGACTAGCTGAACATAGCGGACAATGAGGAATACTGAGAATTCAAGAACAATTGCAGTGGGTTTTTGATCCTACTGCACGTACTGGCTTTGTGGGAGCCTAGGCAGTTTGAATGCTCACCTTACGAGACCTGGATAGAGGTGGGCAGTCCTTGGGCTTCCCACAGGTCAGGGAACCCTGATTGCTCTTCGAGCAGATGAGGGAGGGGGACTTGATCGGGGGAGGGGGAGGGAAATGGGAAGCGGTTGTGGGGACGAGGCAGAAATCCTTAATAAATAAATAAATTAAAAAAAAAAAAAAAGAATTTCCACTGCTGTTACCTGGGATGGATGAGCAGCTATTCTAGTAGCAGATGCATCATGGTAGGTGGGGGGGATTTCCAGCGGCCCCTCAGCGAAGCGAAGATCTTTCAGAGTTTTAGCGTCTGCTCTGTCACCTACTTTGAGGTCTAGAATTACATTAAAAATATTGTTTTGTGATTATCTGTTACCATATAAAACCATGTACATATGCCCCCATGGCTAGAAACCTCCAGTAAAGGAATACATCACATTTCTTCCCAGTGCCAACGACTATAAAGTCACCCTCCTCAAGCCAGCGAAGCAAAACGGAGAAATAATTAACCCAGCTTAAGAAAATAACCTTCCTCGATAGGTATCAACATTCCATGTTGAGCTAAAAAAACCAGACCAGTCCAACTACAAAGTTAGCAGGTAACATTATTTCAATTAAAAAGGAAAAAAAAAATCTGTGACAGTCTCTTCTTTGCATGGTATTGCTTTCTTACTTGGTCTTTTTGCTGCTGTTATTTTAGAAAACAAATAAACAAAAACCTCAACATTCTGAGTTTGGTTCTGGGAACCTATGTGTAATGAGACAACTGATCCCCAAAAATGGTTCTCCGTGGCACACGTGCACCCCACACACAAACAGTAACAACAACAATACTGTTGGGAGTTTTTGTTTATTTGTTTTCTAAAAACAACAACAACAATAAAGTGACTGGGTCTTTTAGGAAAAGTTGAGGTCTTAGTTACGTGACTTCAGACAGCAAAGTTTCTGGACTCCTGGGTAAGTAAGCAATAGCCATGCAAAGAAGAGGCTGCCATGATTTTTTGTTTTCTTTTTAGTTGAAATGATGTTACCTGTTAACTTTGTAGTTGCACTGGTCTGTTTCCTTAGCTTGGCATGGAACGTTGTAGACGGTATCAAGGAAGGCTATCTTTTTAGACTGGGTTAATTATTTCTCAGTTCTATTCACTGACTTGGGGAGGTGACTTTAGAGCAGTCGCTGCTGGAAAGAATGTGATGTAGTCCTTTCCTAGAGGCTTCTAGCCATGGGGGCATATTTGCACGCCAAATGCTTTTCCCTGATAAGCTATTTTGCAGGTCCCCAAGACATAAAAAGGCAGGCTCATTTTCTAACCATGTGCTGAACACATCCTACACGTACCTTCGCAGTTTCCAAGGTAACCAAACCTGAATCCACATCTGATGCTGGTCCTTCTCGTGCAGCTCAGTTTTACTCAATGCTAGCAAAACTCAGTTTCTGTTTAAAATTTATCTTAACACCCCCTCTTTCCAAACCTGATGATCCTTTCTTTGTTAGGTGAGCCTCCCCTGGTTCCTTCAATACAATCATTCGATAAATCAAATTTGTCCCCGACTGCTTGCTTATCTCTCATGGTCAAATTGTAGCCTGCCTTCCTGCTTTTCTTGTTTCAACACAAGTACAGAAGAAGCACATAGTGAGCATGCAGGAAGCGTGCCTAGGTTCCCTTCTTCCTCATCGTACCTGCAAGCCGTCTAAGGTTAACGTTCCAAGTTGACTTGTTTTCGGCATTCTTATACTTCTTCCTTAATTTTGGCCCGACAAACCCATTTTTTAATTCCTAGGAATAAAGAGATTACACGGCACTTGATTATACAGCCTTAGAGTGTGAGAATCAAAAGTTGTGGTACAGACAGTGTCATGGTGGGCACTTCTCACTTGTGAGGGATGAGGGTAGTTTCAAGTCTGGCTGGAAGGCCTCACCAGGTCAAGCAGCCAAGATAGCAGACATGGATAGTGTCATTATTAGAGACAGTAATAGCATAAGAAAAGAATCAGAGGGGGAAAATAGGGTGGGGTCAGACCCAAAATGACAGGCCTTATACACTCTACCTGCCCAGACAGCCATCCGAAGACTCTTCTCCTCAGCCTTTCTTTGTCGCGGACTTCGTCCCTTCTACCTGACTTGGGCCTGAGTCCTGATGACTGTCCCTGCGACGGTCACACTAGAGACCCACCCCCACTAATCCACTTGCAGCCACTCTGGTCCCACAACACGCGCTCTGGTCTCAGGGCTACCACCTGGCTTAAGTAACAGCCCCACAAACCTTCTCTGTCACTCTCTACAAGTTCCCCACGACTGAGACCTCCTGGTTGGGTGGCCACCGCCTGGCCCTCTTACCTGGACCTCTGGTGCTATAGCCCAGGGCTGAAGGTTCAAACACCCTTCTTACGCCTATCAGATTAACTCTCCACAGAAGGCAAGAATTCTAGTTTTCGCCAGGAGAAGACGTTATCAGAAGTCACACACCCTGGATGGGTCTACTCAGCCTGACTATTCCATTCACCTAATATGCACTCATTGCCCTCCCTTGCCTGCCCTGAGCTCTGCTTACTGCCTGCCACCTTGGAGCTTGCAAACCGGAAAGGCTGACGAGAAACCAAGAAAACACATGCTCGGGTCACTTTCCCCAGCGAAGGCCTGGTGCAGGGACAGAGAAGAGAGCAAACAGCTTGTTTATCTGGAGACAGGGCAGACCGGGCGGAAGGGGTGGCATGCTAAATGGTTTCTGCTTTGTCACAGGTAGTCGCTGCAGACAACAGCACAGGCAGTGACAGGGCCCAGTCAGAATCCCAATCTTAGAGAGGAAGGTTTGGCCAAGGCAGGGAAATCAGTGAAGGTTCTTCACAATGGTTAATCCTGACTTTAATCATGAGGATCTATCTGACTGTGAGTAGAGGTGCTGTAAAGAAAGGAGGGTGTCCCCACTGAGCAAGAAAGGATGAAACACAGTGGACAGTTGGAACATTCTTCGGCTTCATTACTTGCCTGCTTTGAAAAGCCTTCAACACTCTCTTCAGGGGAGATCATCTTCGGGGGCTCATAGTCAACCTGAAACACCTTTGTCACTATTCCACTTTGTCTGCAGTCTCTGAAAATCAAATTTTTAAAAAGGAGAGAATATCTTACACAAACGTTCCAGGTGAAGAGTCCAAGAATAAGAAAATAAGAATGTAAAAATAAAGAAATATACAGTTGTAAGTCTAGGAGAATGAGAACAGACTGTCAGCAGCTTTCTCAGCAGCTTGAGGATTAACTATTAAGTGGATTATTTTGCTTTACAACCCATAGTTCTATTTACAAGGCCAAAGCATCTCTCTACAAACTGAGAGCTATCCAGCCAACGTTTAGGAAACAGATATATGACATCTGGGTTATGCATTATCCCTGCTCTGTGAAACTGGCAGCATCAAAGGGGAGAGCACAGGGCTTCAGTAAACACCACCTGGAAGTACCAAGGAAGACAATAGATTAAGTACAAACACAAGTTTTTAACTAAAACAACTCTGCTAATGGAGATTGTAAAGTAAGGCAATCTGTATCTGAATTTTACCTTGAGATTGTAAAAATTCCTTTGTTCAGACCTAATGCTTGGTGTCCCTACTATAAAAAGATGGGTTCAGAAACCGACCTCTGCCACAGCCTTACACAAACCATCTCTGGCTGTGGTCTCAGCTAGCTGATAAGCTTTTTGTGCCCCATGGAGACTTTTTATTTTATTTTTCCCTGGCTTCTGGTTTCTGTAATAAAGTTTGCTTCTGGTTTATTAGACTTTGGTGGTCTGTCCCCATCTTTACGCAATCCCCCTGGACCCAACACAGGAAAAGGTGGCTAGCAGTCAAGATGATGCTTATTTAATGTAGCTGCTAAGTTTGTTACCTTTTAAGTTGGAAAAATTAAAATATACTTTCAGCTAAGGAGGCCGTGAGAGGTGAGGGTTAGAGGCAAAGGGCGGGGTGGTATCGGTCTTCAGCAGTGATTCTGGAACTCTAGACCCTGCCCCAGCCCGGTGCTGTTCACAGAGCCTCAGGCCAGTGTGCAGCACTCCTTCCTACCCTGCCTGCCTCAGAATCCTGGCCTCAGCGGCACAGAGCCCAAGCTCAGGACAGTGGTTGGCTTCTCTTGTATCTTTGATACTTTCGTGAGTATTTCCATGTTCGGTGACTGGAAGGACTCACTTTAGACTAAACTTTGGAGAAGCATTTAATGTGTAAGATCAAAGCTGCAGCTGTCTGATGCACATAAGATGACTTATCCATGAACTACTGCATCCCCCTCAGCTGTCCTTATTAGCACACTTCTCTAAGGTTCCTGAAGGAGCACTCAGACCCCACCCTGATGTCATCCTGGTTCTCAGCCACTTGCTCCACTCCTTTAAGGCCTAGGTTATCTCCCTAGCACAGATGGCCATGTCCTTGGATACTCAGCTAAGCCATTTGCCCACTCTATTCAGCCTAGAACAGCCCACAGACCAGCTTACGCTTCATGGTAGGTAGAAGGATTTCAACCCAAGAATAGCCCTCCCTCATCCCCAAATAGATTAGGTTTGAGGTTAGTTATAAATCTCACTCAGAGCCTAAAATGCACATATACCTCTATTAGGGCTCAGGATAGCGACCTTAAATATGCATGCACCAACATAAGTTATACCCTGCATAAAAGCCATCTCTGGGTACCTTTAGCTCTACAAATATTATCCTTTCAATGAAATATCAGAATTAAAGAGCTGGGGTGTAGCACAGTTCGCAGCATGACTTCCTTCATGCAAGGCCTAAGTCCAAACATCAGCACTAAAAATCAGAATTTTCTGAATGACTACAAGCAAATTACCAAGATGGATTAATGGGAAGTCACAATTTGGTTTGGGTCAAGTTTTCTCAGCCTACTGAAAACTATTGAAGTGTGAGGCTATCCTCTACATTATAAAATGACAAGCTGCAACTCTCTACATTAACCACTAGATCAGTAGTTCTCAACCTGTGGGTCATGACCCCAGTGAGAGTCATGTATCTGATATCCTATATATAATATATTTACATGATAACTCATAACAGTAGCAAAACTTCAGGTATGAAGTAGTGACAAAATATTATAAGGTTGGGGGGGTCACCACAACTTGAGGAACTGTATTAAAGGGTGCAGCATTAGAAAGGTTGAGTAACACTGCACTAGATTCTAGTAGCAAGTAATACTTCTAATGGCAACTAAAATGTTTCTTGGCGTTTGTACACATGTGGTCTATGTACATGTTCATGTGGTGGTACATGCATGTGTGGATATGGGTGTACATGCATGTGCGTGCAATTGTCTTCCTTCACCACTCTCCATTTATTTTATTTTCTGTGTGTGCATAAATGCATACATCATAAGGGGTGGGGAGACACGGCATGCATGAAGAGGTCAGAAGACAACTTTCAGAAGGTGGTTCTCTCCTTCTACCTTGTTCTGAGGAAGGTTGGCCCCTGTTATTTCTGAGTTTGGCTGCAAGTTTCTGGCCAATTCACCTATCTCTGCCTTCCATCCCACTGCAGGAGTACTGGGAATACAGAGGTGTAGCATGGCACTCAGCTTTTGATTCTGGAGATTGAACTGAGATCATCACTCATCACACTTGTATCACAAGCATCTTTATCCATTAAGCCATTGTCCCCAGCTCTCCTATCTATCTATCTATCTATCTATCTATCTATCTATCTATCTATCTATCTATACATCCACCTATTTATCTGTTTAGTTATTTGTTTATAGTTTCTTGAGTCAAGACTTCTCTGTAGAACCTTGACTATCCTGGAACTCGCTATGTAGACCAGGCTGGCCCCCAACTTAGAGATCCACCTGCCTCTGCCTCCCGAGTGCAGAGATTAAAGGTGTGAACCACCAAGCATGGCCTCCACTTTGTTTTTTAGAAGAGTCTCTCACTGAACCCAGGGTTCACCAATTCAGCTATGCTGGTGACTAATGAGCCCCCGAGACCTGCCTTTGTCTGTGGCCACTTGTCTGTGGCCACTTCAGCTGGGGTTACAGGCACATTTTATTCACCCAGGCACAAACTCTTGAATTCTGAGTTAAATCAACTCTGAAATTCTAGTAACCCAGAAATGAGGACTAACAAATAAAGGAAAGTCGGAGAGCCACATAACTAAGGTGACACTGACTAAATGATTAAGTAGGATTAAAATCTTCAAATCTCTGTGGTGATAATCTTGTCAACTTAATTGGATTGAGAAAGGCCTAAAGGATTAGTAAGGCACACTTTGGGGATGTCTGAATGCTGTGTCTTGACTTAAATCGGTAAATCATTCCTTGATGAATTTATAATATGATGGAATTATTGGGGAAAGGAAAAGGCAGGAGGTGCCTGACTGGAATAAGCAGGTCACCAGGAGTCACGTCCACAGAGATTACATCTTTCCCTTGTCCCTTCCTATGTTCTTTTTCTTTGCTCTCTGATGGCCCTAATGTGATCTTCTCTTTCCCATCTTGATTGGGCTGACACCTCTGAAACCGAGCCCAAGTAAGTCCTCCTTTTTCAAGTGTTCTCAGGTATTTTGGCCATTGTAACACAAAAGTAACTACTAGTTTCCAAGTCCTGTGTTCTTTCTACACTCAGTTACTTCTCCTAGAGTTTTCTCCCTGCCTTTGCTGCCTGTGCACATGGCATTCAGATCTCTCCATTGCATTGCCTCCTGAACAGGGTCTGTATACAACAAGTTTGAATCACTGCCTCCAGGTATATATATGTATGTATCTATATCATTTACATGTATATTTAAAATACAGATCTAATATGTTAGGCTGTGTGTGTGTGTGTGTGTGTGTGTGTGTGTGTGTGTGTGTATTTCAAGGAGCTACAGACGGGGAGCACTGTGAGCTATTCTGATTACCTACTTATATTTGCTTTATCAACCTTGATTGCAAAAACTGGGGTCCTTCATGAGTACTGAAGAAGCTATTATTCTCAGAGGAATCTGAGCCCCCAAACACTTGCGCTGAAAGCTCACAGTAGAATTGTGTAGCAAGTTCCTCTGAGATGAAACATTCTCTTTTGGAAGGAAGCTTGTTGAGACTTAGGATGTTCTAAAGGGAGGTGAAACATTCCATCCTGCAGGGCACCTGGTAAAAACTCAGAAGTAAAGAACTCAGTAGCTTCAGAAGTGTCCCAAATGAACTACTAGGCCCCTCCTTCCCCAAGCTTACATAAGAAGTAAGGACTGCTGGGAGATGCTCTCAGACCAACAGAGCTGCCTAAAAGAGGCTCGGACTGACTAAACCACCTGGAAAAGGCAGAGGCTAGCGGAGCTGCCTGGAAGACATTCTCTGACATATCCAGCTGCCTGCGAGTTGGCTGTAAAGTGTGCTCCAGGGCTCCAACTTTCACAGGCTGTCACCCACCCCAGGTGGGCGTTTGGTGGTGTGGCTGTCTTTGAGTCATTTCTCTTCTTGCAAGTTCCCCACCGCACACACTCATGTTCCTGCAAGTAACCCAATAAAACCCATTGTTTCGTCAAGCTGGGCTTTGGTAGCATCTTTACTTTGGTCTGTGTTTGGTCTGGTTTGTTCCCCATCTGTGCTGAGTAAATGCTTGTTCACATCTATTCCTCTGTCACAGAACTCCACCCTTAGTTCCAGACAGGTTTCAAGCAGGTTTTGCTCCTGCTTGGCTTTATCTGTTGTGAGCCCTATGTGAGGTCAGTGGTGGAGAAGGACAAACTGCACAGTCACTGCTAAAGCATGACAAAGTATGATGGTGGGGCAGGACACTGTTGACCACAAGGAGGCCTTTAAAGAAGCAGAAGGTGAGAGGACACTGGGATTTGATGTCAGTGTAGGTCACCAACCCTTGACAACACCCTCCCCTTCCTGACATGTTCCCAAGTTCTTTGCCCTTCTCATCCAACTGTGTTCTTTCATTCCTTCCTTACTCTGATGGGAAACCTTATCCCCAGGAAATAAGGAAATGTTAAAAGAATTATCAATAAAAAAAATAATCAAGGCTAGTCATGGTAACTTACCCTTTAATCCTAGCACTCAGGGAGGCAGAGGCAAGGATCTATGAGTTTGAGGCCAGCCTGGTCTACAAAGTGATTTTCAAGGCAATTAGGACTGTTACACAGAGAAATTCTGTCTCAAAAAACCAAAATACATACATACATAAATATTCTTAAGAAAGAAAATGGGAGTAGGAGAAGAAGGATTTTGGAAAAAGGAAGTGGCTAATGGCCTCCAGGTTGAAATGGCAATAGCTTTGAACATCAATTAAGTCAATACAAAATGAAACAAAGAATGACATCACATCCCAGAGAATAAAAGAACCATCCACCAAATGGCACTTTCCTTAGAGCCAAAGGAAGCTCTTTAGAAAGCTTTTCCTCCCCAGAACTCCAGTGTGGAATTTGAAATGAAAATGTTAATAATATATGCAATATTTATTGAGTTATATACTTATGATTTATGGACTTTATACCTCAATAAAATGCAAATAATATAAGTACTAAAATTAGCATAACTTTTTCTTTAATGTCTTTCTAACACATTGGTTCTCCTAAAAAGAAATAAATAAAATTAGAATATAATGTAGTTGGGAATGGAAGCCCATGCCTTTAATCCCAGTACTCAGGAAGTAGAAGCAAGTAGATCTTTGAGTTCAAGGCCAGACTGGTCTACAGAGAGAGAGCTCCAGGACAGTCAGGGCTATATAGAGAAACAAAAAAAAAAATAACAAACAAGCATATATATAAAATAATACCATGCTTATTTGCCTACCATGCTCTTAACTTACTTAGAGACGGCAACAGCTTTAACTTGTATTTTCCCATCAGGCAGAGTAATAGGTTTTATGTACTTAAATGTATTATTTTCACCAGAACCAACTTTCTTTAGAAAGTCAGGCTTGCTGCCATCCAGGGTGTAATAAATGTTGACATCTGGGGTGTCTGAAAAATCCAGAACAGGATAACCATAATTAACATTGACATAACAAGTCCCTGTGTGACGATTATCTGTTAAAAACAAAGAGACACACACACCGAGTAAGTGATAATGATCCTGCTGTCTGTGCCAACACAGTGCTTTGCATAAATGAGCTCACTTCATGTATTCGTTCACATTACTGGATGAGGTAGGTCCTACACTGTACCCATTTTATAGATGGCAACTGAGTGCCTGAGCGATTAATAAACTTGCTAAATAACAAAAGATTTCCAGTGCTCACAGTGGCTCACAACTCTGTAACTCCAGTAGCAAGGTATCCAATGCCCTCTTCTGGCCTCGGTAGGTAATAGGCAGGCTTGTGGTACACAGGCATACACGAGGACAAAACACCCATATGCATAAAATAAAAATATTCTTAAGAAAGAAAATGGGAGTAGGAAAAAGAAAAAGATTTAGTTAAAAAGAAAATGACTAATGACTTCCAAGTTGGAATGGCAATAGATTTGAACATCCTAATATGTGCAAAATTAGTTGAGCCATATGCTTATAATATGTGGTTAAGTTCTGCTGGGCTGAGTACACAGTCCATAATCTGAACCACTGAGCTCCATCACTCCCCTTTCCTCCTCCCAAAGGTTCCCCCTCCCAACTTTCAAGTCTTTAAAGGAAAAACATAGATTCTGCACATGAAAAAAACTACTTGGTATTTTTCTTTCATTCATTTCTTATTTGTTAATTCTGCAGCAATGGGGACTGAACCCAAGACCTTAGTCATATTCACAACTTCTCTGTTGTTAAATCAAACTCTCTTTCTTCTTTCATTCCCCCTTCCCTCTCCATATATATATATATATACATATACATATATGTGTGTGTGTGTGTGTGCACATATGTATGTCTATATATCCAATTATCTCTATTTCAATCTCTCCAAAGGTAGCACAGGTTGGCCTCAAATTCACTGTTCTCCTTTCTTGGCCTCCCCAGTGTTGGCATAAAGGCATTTACATTGGGTTATTATTCTCTTTAGTATTTAACAGTGGGATATTTTTATTTATTTGACATTTAAACATTAGAGAATATAGAACCACCATCTATATTATCACATTCCAATAATAGTCTTCTAAGAGTTATAAGCCCTTATGTAAAACCATTGAACATGTTAGCCTTTCAGATAAAAGAGGTTAGAGTATAATATGAATCTTATTCTTGGAAATCTTGAACTAGGGAGCCTGGAGGCAGCTCTACAAATGCAGATAAATACTTTTTATACATTTAAACTATCAAAATTAAATAGATACATATGTAATTAAAATCTAAAAGCTTTTTAACACAAATATTTGTTCATATGTCTTAGCTATAAAATTTCTTTACATAGATTATTTATATGCATATAAACAGGTTTAATATTAAATACTACTTAATATTAAATACTATTATGAATACCTTGTTTTTACAATAGTTAAGATTTATTTATTTATTTATTTATTTATTTTTGTTTTCTCGAAACAGGGTTTCTCTGTGTAGCCTTGGCTGTTCTGGAACTCACTCTGTAAATCAGGCTGGACTCAAACTCAGAGATTTACCTGCATTCCGAGTGCTGAGATTAAAGGCATGCACTGCCACCACCATCACTGGGCTAAGGTTTATTTTATTATAAGATAAATCTTATGTACTTCACATATGCCAATGAATATATATACCCGTATACAGCAACTCACTTAACCCTCACAGTGGCTCTGGTGGTAGATAATAGAAAACATACAAAGATATAAATCAGCAACACATGAATACAGGGCATGACAATGCTATTTTAAGTAATTCAAAATGCACAAGATTCCTACCAGATTTCATTTCCAAAAGAGTATTGGTATCAATCTCATGGTTGGCTTTTCCAGGCTGGGGCACTCGCAGTGGTATGATCTGAGGGGCACACACTGAGCCAGCAGTCATGTTTTCTCCTTATGTAAAGAAATTAAATTAAGAATTCCATCATGAGCCTGTATCTGAACACAAAGACTACAGAGTACCATTTTTTTTTTAAATGCAGCAAGCCAGTAAAACCTGACGAGAACATCATTAATGCGCCACCTACTGGTAATGCCCATTTAGTAAATGAAATGATTATTGCATCTCAGCTGCAGATCTGCTGTCAGGTCGTCACGTACATGCTTTCCCTCTCAGAAAGGCACACAGATGAATCCGACAGGAGACAGGAACTGCGTGGAATGGGCAGGTTAACTGAACGAGGCAGAACAGAATCCACGCTAATATTGTGACCTCGGTTCCTTCCAGATCATCCACTCTTCACTGCCTTCTGTTAGTGCAAACATACACACTCATTCTCCTGACTTCAAGGCAACTCATTACATAAAGGAAACAAGGAACTTTGCATGTAGCATGAATTATTTATTTAGAGTCAACTTTTAAAGGGAGTTCTAAGCCCACGGTCTTCCCTTTGCCGTTGCAGTATATTGCGTATCTGAAAACTGCAAAGGCTGCAGAGCATGAATTCTCAACAGAAAGAAAATTGACATGGATATAAATCAACAAACACAAGATTCCTATTCGCTTTATTCCTATTCTGTTTCGTAAACAACCACCACCACAGGAGCCTTATGCGTCTTTTCTTTGAGGTGGGGAGAAGCCATCTTGGCACAGCATTTGCACCTTGCATTGCTGTTTCAATTATGGCTACGTGATTATTCAATTACGATGTTCATATCCATCCTACTGTTATAGTCAACATTTTCACCCTCATTCTTATTTACAATTTTTCATGCAACAGTTTGCTGTTCGATGGTGAGGCTATTTTTTTTTAATTTTGGTAATTGGAATTCTGATAATGTTTCTCTGAACATTTCTGCGTTTTGACATACCTTGTTCTGAAAAGTGGAATAATTAGATTTAAAAGATCAATTTCCAGTTTGTGGACTAATAATAAATAATATTAAAAAAACACCACAGATACGTCATCGTTCAGAAATGAGGCTGGACGTAGAGGGATCTGCCTATATTCTCATTTTCTTTCAAGAAAGAATCGGTTAAAATAAAAACAGCCGAAAACTAGATTCTAAATAAACGCAGTTGGATAGAGACGAATTTGCTCACGGTTAGTATTAGCTGCCCTTGGAAGGCTGCGGTGGTCAATGGATCTCACGCGAAGGAGATAGAGAAGGCTGATTCGCTAGGTCCAAACCGCAGCCTGTTGTCAGTGTCATGCCACCAGCATCTCCCAACATCCTTCACCTGGACCACCTTCCTCGCTGCCCACACCAGGACCCGCCGCGTCAAGCCCTCGGCCTCGCGAAGCAGTCAGAGAAGCCTGGATCCCTCCCAACCGAGTATGCGGCCCTCCTTCTTACCCTCCTCCAGCCTCACGGACGAGATGAGGACCCTCAATGCACCTTAGCCGCCGCCAACCGGGTGTCTAGGCTCTTGCGCTGCACGACTGCTCCTCTGCTGCAGCTTGGGTTACCACCGACGCTGCAGGTCGCGCCCCGCCCACCGCGAGTCGAGCAGATGATTGGCAGGGAAAACGATTTCCTAGCAACTAGCCCCGCCCTTGTCTCCGGGCCGCGGAGTCTGTCTGGAACCCGCCCCCAGCTCCGTGGGCGAGGCTTTGCTGTAGGCATCCAATAATATGCCCTCTTGGCGGCTGGAAGGGCCTGAGAGAGTGCACCCCTATTTAGCGTACGGGGGCCCGAGCCTTTAATCGGACATGCACTGAAATTTAGGAATAACAGAAAAAGAGCCTGTGGCGACACCGCTGAGCAGAACGGAGCAGGCAAACCTCGGACGCCCCAAGCCGACCCGACGAAGAAGGCCCGGCGCGACCGGACGAAAAGGCCCCTCGCCCGCCCGGCGCGCGCCTCCTCCCGTACTCGGGGCTCTCAGCGCGCTTCCCGGGGCGAATTTTCCTCTAGTCTGGAAAACCGCCCTTATGGCTGAGGTGAAGGTAAAGGTGCAACCGCCGGACGCGGATCCGGTGGAAATAGAAAACAGGTAATGCAGTGCAGCCGGACCCCTTCTCTAGCAGTCCCAGGGAGTGGCCGGAGCAGGCTGCGTGAGCACGCGGGAGCGGGATTGCGGGGTTCTACTCCTCCCCCTCCCCTCCCCCGACTAGGGAGAGCAGAAGAGCAGCGTGAAAGCTTGGAACTTTATGTAACTGGCTTCGCCAGGATTCTGTTATAGTAGTGAGGACACTCCTGGAACCTAGACGTTGGCCTGAATGCCTGAAAAGAGGCCTGCGTTTGCCCCTTGGGCTTGTTCGAATTCATGTTCGATTTCAAGATTGCTCGGTGGCCAAGGGAAATTACATAGGAGAAGGTTCGGGCTAAATCAGGGTTCAGTTTATGATCACAAAACATCATTGAGTCAAGTAGATTCAGCGAGTGCCTTAAAGCTAATACTCCTCATAGCGCACAAGTAGTTTTAGGTTATAACATAGGTAAAAGACAGCAACTTTCTCACCAGTTGTGGGTAATGAGTTTATTACTACTAAGGCGATATCCAAAATTGTTTGGAAGGGATAATTTTGCAGACAGACTCCAGTTACGGCAAATCACCATATCCTAGCCCCATCTCTGTATTCCACATTTGCCCCTTGATAGCATGGATTTTCAGCTTTAATATCTATCTAGACTGCATTTCCTTCTTTCGCCCTTTGAAAAAAAGCTAACATAAATCAATACCTTTATTCCTAGAATTATAGAATTGTGCCACCAATTCCCTCATGGAATCACAGATCAAGTAATTCAAAATGAAATGCCTCACATAGAGGCCCAACAGCGGGCAGTGGCCATCAACAGACTATTGTCTATGGTAAGGTGAATTCAACGAATTTGTGTAATTTGTTGGCTATTATGGTTTTCATTGGTGCCTGTCACATAATTGTGATGGTTAACTTTATGTGCCAATTGGCAGGGATGTGAGATTCTTAGCTAACTGGCTATAGGTTGTTTCTGGGATGTTTGGGACTGTGGAAGTATTTGCATCGCTGAACTGAGTAGAAGGTGAGTGGGCACCGTCCAATCTAGCGTCAGCCTAAGCAGAACAAATAGAAGGAGGACGGAATTTACTCCAGACCTGCTTTGACTTCCAGTACCAGTCTTCTATCTTTAGCACTCTGTTCTTAGGCCGTCAGAGTCCATCCACAGCCCTTGACTGTCCATCTCTAACACTAGTGCATCACTTCTGGACCGCTGAATCTGTGCAACTGGCCTTGTTGAGTCTCCAGCTCGCAGGAGGTAGATTACAACCGTTCCTGCTCACCGTAATCACATGAACTAATAATAGCACGATAAGCTTCTTTTTCGTGAACCAGTACGCTAATTGTCAAGCCAAAAACTGTGACTTGATTCCAAACCAGGGAGAAGGTTAGGCTGTCTGAATGGAAAGACAAAAGAAGGAGAACATAATTATTTGCCATTTGGCAAGGTGAAGAAACTACATGCAATTCTGTTATAACTAATTATATTAGCTTAATTGACACAAGGCACACATGGATGTAATCTGTTCTCACCTTCTTTTGCTTTCTGCTGCTAGCGCTTAGCCATTCCCTATAAAATATTTCCACTATGATTTTTCTGTGAGTTATCACATAGCCTATTCACTGGGTATCACAGTGTCACTCTGAGCTTTTCAAGAGCAGGAAGAAGTACTGAGACAGGGCAGTGGAATTTTCAGTGAAGCCCGAGAACCTGGAGCCCTCATGCCTCTCCTCCAGCTTTTGAAAAACACTCCACCAAGTACTGCCCCATACTTGAAATCTCTTCCCGAGGGCCTCTCTGTTTTATTAGGGGTTCGTTAAGAGCCCTGCTATGACTTGTTTGCTTTTTAAAACTTCCAGCCTTGTCTTCTGTCTGGCTCTAGATGGTGAGATTTTAGGGATGGGTGAACCTTTTGTTAAGCTTTAGTCTTCACTTTTTGGGATGAGAATGTGGCAGACTCCTCTGTGAACTGGTAAATAAAATATCCTTTGTGATTCATCTGGTTTCTCTCACCACTGTATAGCAAGCGGCAGGCAGCCTTGAGTCATGAACGGTGATATGTAAATGGTGGGCGTGGCTTTTTTCTGATGGAATTTTATTAGTTAAAAAAAACAAAAACAAGCAGTAGCCTAGCAACTTCTGTTTTCACCCAAAGAAAAAAAAGTGTTGGGGATTTCTGGGCTTCCTTTTTCTGTGTAGAATGACTCCTTGTCCTTTAGGGCTCATCTTTCCTGCTTTCTCCAGGATCCCCAGTTGGGCCACAGTCTTTTCTCTGAGTGTGCATCCACCCTTGTTTCTCTCCTGATGCTAACCAGATAGTATTAACATCATCTGTGTGCTTCCTTTTTAGAATTTGTTTTGGCCTGGTAGTGTAGCTCAGTCAGTGGTAGAACACTCACCTAGCTTGCATGATGCCCTTTATTCTGTCCTCTATCAGCAAATTGTCCCCTTAAGCAGCTGTCTTAATATTGGTACAATACAGGGGTTTAGTAAGTGAAAGTGACTAGAATAGGCTGAATAAGTGACAGAAGGGAACTTCTGAGTTGAGTTTTGTGATCCCACTTTGCCATTTGGTGAATTGGGGAAGGAGGTAGGGTGTTGCAGTTTGTCCAGTATGTAAACATTTTTTACAGTTTAACGCACAGTAGGGCTCCCTCTTGGCTGTAGTTTCCTATAACTGCTGCAAGTCCAGTGATACACACATCTGGATTCTCTTAATGCTAGACCCAGGAGCTTCTAAAACATGGTAGAATACACTTTAATCTTACTTTGTTTCATGATATAAAATACCAACACTGAAGACCTTTTGTTCATTGGTTTGTCTTTTTGCCCCTTCTCCTATCACAGAATTAATATTGTACATTTGAGTAAATAGTTTAGTCTGTATGATAAACACATTTAAAACTATGTTGACACTTAGCATTGGAACTGATGTATCTCCAAAGTAATTGATGACAATTTTCTATTTTAAAACACTTTAGGGTCAGTTGGATCTTTTAAGGAGCAATACAGGCCTTTTATATAGAATAAAGGATTCTCAGAATGCTGGGTAAGTAAGCACCTGGTTCTTAATTTTAAGAAAATTTTGATTATTGTAAAAGTAATGTATGTATTAGAAAAAAAGCTAACATAGTAGTAACAGGTATTATGGCACAAACCCACATCTCAGCACTTGGGAAGTAGGGCTGAAAGTTTAGTGCCATCCTTAGCTACACAGATTAATGATATTAGTGCATGTGAGTATTGTATGTCTGTCTGTCTATGCATAATGTAGCTAAGTGTGGTGCTGCACACCTATAATCCTGACACTTGGGGGACAGAGCCAGAAGGATCATGAGATGGAAGACAGTTCAGGCTATACATCAAAAGACCCTGCCTCAAAATCGGAAGACAAAACAAACGGATGGAAACTCATACCATCCCTCCTTTCTGTCCTGTGTTCCGTTTCCCAGAGTAACTGTTCCTGGTAATTTCTCCTAGATACACTGAAATATTCATAGGTGATTATATACTTGTATATTATTTTCTTTTTAAAGAAAATTTTTATTAACTTTTTAAAGAATTTTTTATTATTTATTTTAACTTTTATTTTATGTGCCTTGGTGTGAAGGTGTCAGATCCCCTAAAACTTGATTTACAGTTATGAGCTGCCATGTGGGTGCTGGGACTTGAACCCGGGTCCTCTCGAAGAGCAGTCAATGCTCTTAACCACCAAGCCAACTCTCCAGCCCCTATTCTTTTCTTTTTTTAAAAAAACAAAACTGGGTCATGCTATCATGCTATACTGTTCTGTAACTTGGTTTTTGTTTTTTGGGGTTTTTTTTCCACTTACTGTACTTCGGATATCTTTTCGTTTGGTACACACAGCTGTCTCATTCTTTTTGAGGTAAGCCCTTTTGCAAAAAGTCAGTGTGATAGCCTGTCTGCCAATTAACTTAGTTATGCAGATGATAGCACAGCCCACATTTTTTTTTTCCTTTTTTAATTCTGCTTTATTCCCTGCAGTAAAATGAAGGGGTCCGATAACCAAGAAAAACTAGTCTACCAAATCATAGAGGATGCAGGGAATAAAGGTGAGCACGTGAGGGATGACTCATTGTCTTTAGGTCTAGACCTAAAGCATCTTCGTTATTCTGTCTATTTTTAAAGAGAGGATCCCATTGTGTAGAGCAGGCTTTCTATTATCTTCTTTCCTCATCTTTCTGAGTGGTGGGCCTGCAGGCATGCCCTGTTACATGGAGCTAAGCACATGTTTTGTATATATTCTCTTTCTGTATGTACAGCTTTCTTTCTTTGATAGAAAACTCATGACTTCCCACAATGGGTACTTAATGAGAGTAAGAACCACAGCCTTATTTTTTTGTCTTACAAATGGAATGTTGTTTAAATAATAAAAGTACGTGCATTGAAACTTCCAAACTAATGTTTTGTTTTGTTTTGTTTTTTGGTTGGTTGAAGATGGCAGATGACCCTAACCTAAATTTGAGTTGTTTCATTTTTACAGTGATACTCTCAGAAAATTGCAATTAGGTAAACTATTGGATGAGAGATTGGATTTAAGTTAATTCAACAGCATTCATGCTTTTTCCATTACAGATATGTTCTTATAATATATTTTTAGAAGATGCCCCACTAGGTGATGAGGCACCCTTTATCCAGATACTCTGGAGGCAGAGATAGGTGGATCTCAGAGTTCATGGTCGCCTTGATCTGTGCAGCAAGTTCCAGGCCAGCCAGGGCTGCATGGTGAAGCCCTGTCAAAAACCAAAAAACACACTGATGTGCCAAGCAGTTTCCAATTAGAATATAAACATACACCTAGTTACTGGCTCTTGTACTTTTGTTTCTTTATCTAACTTTTTTTTTTACAAAACTGTTATAAAGTTTTATGCTAAAGGATGTGCTGTCAGCTTTCCTACTTTCTTACAGGAATATGGAGCAGAGATATTCGATATAAAAGTAATTTGCCATTAACGGAAATCAACAAAATTCTCAAGAATCTGGAAAGTAAAAAACTTATCAAAGCTGTGAAGTCTGTAGCAGTGAGTAGTTGGCTTTCTGGGTTTCCTCCGTATATTCACTTAAGTAAGCTGTTCCAGCTGGGTTTTCATCCTTTGTTCTTTAATTCATGTGGGATTTAACTCTTGTTGTACTGACTCGAAGCTGCAGCCTACTGCACTGTCTAGCCTCTGCCAAACTTTTTACACAACTTGTACTGTATTCTGCAGTAAGAAAGTCTGGAGCCTTGAGTATGCTTCCTAGTTTTCGTGTTGTGTGAGATAGCACATTATCTTACTCAGCAAGTGTCTATTGATTAGGCTGTGGCAGGTACACATAAGTAACAAAGTCAGCAGAGAAAGATCTCTGTCCTGTGTCTCCATACCATGTTTGTGGTTTGTTTTTCCTTTCCTTTCCTCTCCTCTCCTCTCCTCTCCTCTCCTCTCCTCTCCTCTCCTCTCCCCTCTCCTCTCCTCTCCTCTCCTCTCCCCTCTCCTCTCCTCTCCTTTTTTTTCCTTTCCTTTCTTCTTCCCTTCCCTTCCCTTTCCTCCCCTCCCTTCCCCTCCCCTCCACGCTCCTCGTCTCTCTATCTGGAATATTCAGCAATAAAAAGATGACCTATCATGAAGACATGGAGTGACCTTAATGCCTATTGCTTGGTGTAAGAAGGCAAGCTGACAAGGTAGCACACTAGGTGTTGCCAACCCGGTGACATTGTGGGAAAGTAGAATGTTAAGACAGTAAAAAGACAAATATTTGCCAGTCTTGGGAGTAGGGTCCTAGGCAGAATTGAGTAGATACAGCACAGAAAATGTTTGGTGGCAGTTAAACTATTCTATATAACAAGATGGTATCTAGAGACACAGCACAGAGTAATCTTAATTGTACTGTTTTATTTTATTTTGAAAGAGAAGTCTAGTAATATAACCAGGGCTGGTCTTGAATGAAGAAATGCAGGATCTTTTCTGCCTTAGCCACCTGAGTGCTGGGATTTACATGTGTATGCCATCATGCCCAGCTATCTGTATCATTTTATAACTTTTTAAAAGCTGCTTAGAAATGAGGAGGATGCCAGAGTGGGATGTGGAATGTATAACTAGAAACCAGGGGTTTGGGTATGACTGAGCAGTTACAAACATGGCTGCTCCTCCAGAGGAAGAGCATGGTGACTCAGCCATCTGCAACTCCATTCTAGGGAACTCTGACACCCTCTTCTTGCCTTTGTGGGTAACAGGCATAAACATACACAAATACCCACACACATTAAGTAAATGATTTTTTTTTAATTTAAAAAATAAACAAATGTGACAGAATTTTAGAAATCACACCGCTAGGGGTTGAAGGACTAGGACTAACCTAAGTACTTGTAGAAATGAATCTTTTCCTTCCTGTGAGACTCCTGATCCTACTTACTATACATAGAGAACCATGGGCAGTGCCGGCTTCAGTATAGTTCTGACTTGGGTTAGAGACACTATCCAATTCTGCCCCCAATGTGGCCCTCACTTTGAGATGACTCTTGAGAGAACTCCCAAGTTCGATAACTGCTAGCTTTGCAGTAATTTTGTACATCTAAAAGTATTCTAACTTATAAATGCAGTTTTCAGGTTTAGTTTCTGAAAAACATTATAAACAAATGATGGTGTATATTCTTTCCTAGGCCTCCAAAAAGAAGGTTTATATGCTCTATAACCTACAGCCAGATCGATCTGTGACTGGCGGAGCATGGTACAGTGACCAGGATTTTGAATCTGAATTTGTTGAGGTGCTTAACCAGCAGTGTTTCAAATTCCTACAAACCAAGGTGAGGTCATTAAGGAAACATTATGAGCCTTTAGAAAGCCTGAAAGATTTACTTCTGTATTTCATATTCTCTAAGATTGAAAATGCTAACATTGGAAGTTTTGACTAAACAGTATGTGCTGCTGTTGGTGTGGCACATACGTGTGAACTTCAGAAAGCACTAACATGCATTCTTGCTTGAGTCTCTTGTTCTACCCTTCTAGGCGGAAACCGCAAGAGAAAGTAAACAGAATCCAATGATTCAGAGAAACAGCTCGTTTGCTTCATCCCATGAAGTGTGGAAGTACATCTGTGAATTGGGCATCAGTAAGGTCAGATTTACTTTCTACACTGTCTTCCTCCCCGGCTGTATTACAGTGTATTTGACCCAGCCCCCCTTTCATGTACACATTCTGCTGAACCCACTTTGAAAAAGCACTGTCCTAAAGTAGACAGAGGCTCTTCTGGTGGGCTGATTGTGGCTGAACTATCTTGAGCACAGTCCTAGCTGTGCCGTTCACCACCCAAAGTCAAATTGTTCTGATAAGTTCTTGAATGTGTGACAGCTGAGCTTGTCACATTAGTGTCACTCTCTTAGTGAAATGTAAGTGGTATCATCAGCACCCTTTGAAGACCTTCACATAAAGACACTGATGCCAGGAGGCAGAGGCAAGTGGATCTCTGAGTTCAAGGCCAGCTTGGTCTACAGAGCTAGTTCTAGGACAACCAGAGCTACACAGAAAAACCTTGTCTCGAAAAACAAAACAAAACAAAAAAAAGGACACTGATGTTTTTCATGATCAGCAAAGAAGCCAAAGTGGCATTTGGACAAATAATTTTTACTTCCTGGTTTCTAGATTTTTTTCACTGATAAAAGATTAGGAACTAGAATTATTTCATGGCTCAAGTGTCTCTCTGCTTAAAGACATTTTAAGAATCTCCATCAATCAGGAGGCAGAGGTAAGTGGACCTCTGAGTTCCAGGAGCAAGTTCTAGAACAACCAGGGCTACACAGAGAAACTAATCTCGTGGGGAAAAAAATCTCCATCAAATTCTTGGGGCGGGGATTTCTTCTTTGTGGGTTTTGGTTTTGAGTGATGCTAGGGTGAGCCCAGGGCTCATGCTAAGCACATGCCCTGCCCCTGAGCTATAATGCCAGTCTTTTTCGTGGTTTTGTTTTATCATGGTGTCCCAACTCTTCCTCCCTTCCCATCAAATTCTTGCAAAAAAAAAGAAAAATCCTACCTCATAAGACGTGTGAGTTTTTTTGTTGTTTTTTAAGACGTGTGAGGATATTAGTATGAGGTTCAGCATGAAGTTAGAGCTGTCCTGAGTACTTCTGTGCTTGGGCTAATGTAGAATGTTGCCTACTCCCTTTGTGCCTTCTATTACTCTTGCCCAGAACATGGCTTCTCCATGTTCCCTTGTCCTTTCTGCATGCTAACATATCCCCTTTCTAGGTGGAGTTGTCCATGGAGGACATCGAGACCATCCTGAACACACTCATTTATGATGGGAAAGTGGAGATGACTATCATTGCTGCAAAGGAAGGCACTGTTGGCAGTGTAGACGGACAAATGAAACTGTACAGGGCAGTCAACCCAATCCTCCCACCTACAGGCTTAGTCCGGGCACCCTGTGGACTCTGCCCCGTAAGTAAAAGCTGCTTCACTCTGTACTTTCATCACCACCATATGCAAATGCCACATAAAGAAACAACAGGCACACCAGCTTTCCCACCAGCAAGTGTCACGTGAGCCATTCACACTGCCACAGACTCTTGATGGACACATTGTTAATGGACAGGTCTTATATTATTTCTTGGAACATTGAGGGTAGGGACATGCCCTTCTGTTCTTGACCCTGAAATGGATACATTGGGACTAACCATTTCTCCTTTGTAGGGAGGGAAATAATGAAGGTTGTTGAGAAGCTACCATGAGCGAAACTTATTCTAATCCTCCTGTGTCCTTGGAGCTAGTGGCATCATTTCCCCTAAAGAGAGGGAACTTAGGGCTAAGTATAGCTCAGTGGCAGGGCCTATGCTCAGTGTACACAGGGCCTCTCACCAGGTTTCCCCTGGTGTCCTCCCCTCGGAGAAAAAAGAAACTCAGACTTAAGCAGAAAATGTTACTTCAAATAATGTGCCATAGCAGTCATTCCTAGCTGGTTTACCAACACTGGGATGGACATTCTGAGGCTAAAGAGAGCAAAAACACTCCCAGTTCCCTTGGCATTTTGGGATATTCTTGGGCTGCTACTCTGCCATATTCATTATGCTAACCCTTGACCTTACCCGTAAGATCATTATTGTGACCCAGTTTCAACTCCTAGACAAAAGCCAACATCCTGGAAATTCTACTTAACACCCTTCAAAGATAGTTAAACATGAAATAACCTTCAATTTAATAGAAATTAAGTTGTCCCTAAGTATAGGACTCATTTCCTTTTACCCAGTGGGCAGGTGAGTGAGGTCACCTGTACACTGTGTTAATAGGGCCTCCATGCCAGACAGGATAGTGTACACCTTTAATCCCAGCAGTTGGGAGGCAGAGGTACGCAGAGTTCTGAGTTTCAGGCCTGCATGTTCTACATAGTGAGTTGCAGGACCCTGTCTCAGAAAAACAAACAAACAAACAAAGCAAACTAAAAATGAAAGGCTCATAGTTAACAGTGATTACAAAGCAGGCACTTTACAGTGTGCTCTTAAAGTCCCAATACCTTTCAAAGAGTGTTTCCTTTTCCTTCTGTTAATACTGCTTTAAATCAATGAGGCTTTGGTATTTTAAAACTTCAATTTGAATATGAATTTTTTATATGTTTCTTTTAAAGGTTTTTGATGACTGCCATGAAGGTGGTGAGATTTCACCATCTAATTGTATTTATATGACAGAGTGGCTCGAATTTTAATAGAGAGCTGTGAATCTTACTTACTTTGGCAAATGAATTACTTGGAGAGCAAATACTTCATGATGGAACATCCAGTTTCTTTGAAAGCATACTTCACAATGATGGATACTGACTTGCTGCTATGAAAATGTATTTATTTATGAAGACAGAACACAAAACAAATGAAATTTAATAAAGTTTAATAGGGAAGTCTCTTCTGCAGTAAAAAAATACCTTGAAGCTCTGGAAGACCAAGGAAAAGGGAGCCACCAAATACTGTGACCACAGCTGGAGTGTGGAGATACACGCTTAAAGCTATTCCTAAGGTCTTCATTGAAACTCATCGTATCGGGTTATTACCACAGTTTCTGTTTGTTTTTCCTGGGTTTCACTGAGAAATCACAAGTGGTGCAGCAGGGAGCTGCGATGGGAGTGTGCAGAATTGGGGTCTGAAGGGGCGCGGACATTCCACACTGTCGGGTTCTCCTCACCTCCATCCCTGTCACCCCACACGCTGTTGTCTGGGCCATGTCTTCAGCTCAGGGATACTCCATCCTAAAGGGGATAATCTCACAAGTCCTTCATTGTTAAGGCTGTAAATTTCTCTGTATGGCTTAATTTTTGTTGTAGTAGGGAGGTGTGGGCCGCATCCCGCCGCCCAGCTAGCTTAACCCCCTGAAATAACCACACGGAAATTATATTAATTAAATTACTGCCTGGCCCATTAGCTCTAGCCTCTTATTGGCTAACTCTCACATCTTGATTAACCCATTTCTATTAAATCTATATATCACCATGTGACTGGCTTACCGGGAAAGATTCAGCATGTCTGACCTGGCAGCTGGCTCCATGGTGGCTCTCTGACTGCCTTCTTCCTCCCAGAATTTAGTTCTCTTTTCTCCAACTACCTAAGTTTCTGTCCTATCAAAAGGCCAAGGCAGTCTCTTTATTTAACCAATGAAAGCAACACAAATATGGAAGGACCTCCTACACAAAATTTTACTATTTGCTGAAATTTTTTCCAGATTCTTACTTTACGTCTATAGTATGATCCTCTCTGCCACCAGCATCAAATTCAAATTTTTTAATCTAATCCCTGTGTGGAATGCGATAAGTAGGACCTTTGGAAGGTGAGAGGTGGTGAATGTGGAGTCCTCATGAGTGGAATCAGGGCCTGTACAGAAGAGACCCAAAGTGTTCTGTTGGCCTCTGTTAGGCAAGAATACAGGGAGAAGAAAAAGGAAGCGGGCCCTTGTTAGGTCATATATCTGCCAGCACACTGGACTCCCCCGCTTTTGAATCATGATAATTAAATATATTTTCTTGATAAACCATCAGCCAATAGCAGCAGTTCTCAGGTTGAACAACCTTTTCAAGGGGTCATCTGAGACCTTCAGAAAACACAGATATTTACATTACAATTCATAACAGTATGAAATTACAGTTATGCAATAGCAACAAAAATAACTATGGTTGTGGGTCACCACAACATGAGTGACTGCATTAAAGGTTGCATTAGGAAAGTTGAGAACCACTATCTGTACTGTTCTATCAGACAGAAGAGACAGTAGCTAATCATTTAACTTGTACTAAAACTAGCTGTGTATGTGGTGCACTCCTTTAATACTAGCACTTGGGAGGCAGAGGTAGGCAGGTCTCGGTTAGTTCAAGACCAGCCTGGACCACATAGTGAATTTCAGGGCAGCCAGGGCTATAGAGAAAGAGACCCGGACTCAAATAAATACAGATCATTGTCCTTCAATGTAAGGGGTAGGAATCTATCTTACAGTGTTTTAGACTGGTCTCTTTTTTCCTTAATTGTTTTCTAAAAACCATGGTGTGATGTGTCTAAGCAGAAAACCATCACTATATAGTTCGTTAGCCCCAGCCGTTGGGCACTGGAAAACACTAAGTTAGTTGCCATGCTGTTATGCAGAAGATAGCCATATATCTTTAAGGATCTCAGTAGTTGATTTTTACTTTGTTTCTTCTTCTTCTTCTTTTTTTTTTTTTTTTTTTTTTTGAGACAAGGTTTTTCTGTGTGGCTCTGGCTGCTCTGGAACTTTGCAGATCAGGCTAGCCTTGAACTCAGATCCACCTTGTCTCTGCCTCCTCCACTATGCCCAGCTTACTTTGTGTCTTCAAAGTTTCTTTGTGCAAGCCAAAAGCATGGGCCAACTGACAGGGCTCACAGCCCACAATTCTTTGAAGCTGAGCTCTACCATTTGGTAGTATTCTAAGTGTACAGCATCATTGGAGTTACCTTGAGATAAATGGGACCAATAAAATCCAACTTACTAGATCATTTTATCAATGAATTCTGTGTCCAGCTCTATAGAATAAGCATTTAATGACACCAGCTCTTAAGTGTTAGATTATATATTAAATGCAGGTTCCTCTTCTACCTCTAGTGGGGCTGACATGGTAAAAAAGTGATCACTCTTCCTGGATCTGCCTGGCTTATCCAATAAGCACTAGTTTTATTTTCCTAGAAAACTAGATGTGTAGGAGACTTACAAAGGGGAGAAAGAATTTTTTTTAAAAAAAATGTTTAATATGTTCTCTATTTTGTCTTTTTTGTTTTGTTGGAGAAGAATCTCACTCTAGCCCACACTACCCTGGAGTTCACTTTATGGTCTAGGCTGGCCTTGAATTCATGGTGGTCCTGATTTAGCCTCCAAGTGCTGGGATTACAGGCATTTAGCAGCCTTACATGGCTTTGTATTGTCCTGATGATTAGATACTGTTTTAAATTTGCAGTCAGTGGCTAGAAGTGTTCCTTGCCTCACCAGAATAAAGAGATACTTTAAAAGTTTTTCCTCATATCATATTTTTACTGAATATTTTTTGCTTGTAGCATATTTACTCTTGAGTATTAACTGAGAGAAATAGATAAGTTTAAAAAAACATAGCAACTGTACTATAAATAAAATGAATTTGCCTACAGAAATAAGCTAAAATCAGAAGAAATTGTGGGCATCTAAAATCATGATGCCACAAAGTCAAACTGCAGATGAAGTCGTCTTTCCCACCTGAGAACACATATTCTAAGTCTGCTGAGGATTCTGTTTTAAAGTGATCCTACATTGCCAGTCATGGTGTACCAGCGTTGATCCTACAGAGCGAGTTCCAGGACAGCCAGCAATACACAGAAAAACCCCGTCTCAAAAAACAAAACAACATTTGACATCGTAAGTCTATTTAATGGTTTTTAATGAATAGTTAATGTGGCTTCTCCTACAGAATTTCCAATTTGACAATAAATGTTTTATATGAGTTTTGATGGTGATCAATTAAGCAGAGTAATCAACAACTCAATTTGTGATAGGGCACTCGCCTGGTATGTGGAGGCCTCTGGCCTAACCATCATCAGCTCAACAGTGAAGGGAAGAAACGTGGTTTCAGATTTACTACATGGCAGGTGAAGGACAAATACAAAATATGTGCCCTGCAGCAGTGTGGTCCAGTAAGACGGCCTTGAACTCAGTCCTGCCTCTACCTCCCTCCTGCTGGGTTACAAGTTTGTACTGTAACATCTGGTCAAGGAGCATTTTCTATTATGATGGAAACAGTCGATATTTGGTGTTTAGTACAGTGACCCCGAGCCAGCTGGCTGGCCAGCACTTGAAACGAGCCTAAAGAACTAAGGTTTAGTTGGGCACTTGTGGCACACGCCTTTAACCCCAGCACTTGGGAGGCAGAGGCTGGCAGATCTCTGTGAGTTCAAGGCCAGCCTGGTCTACAGAGTGAGTTCTAGGAAAGGTTCCAAAGCTACAGAGAAATCCTGTCTCGAAAAACCGAAAAAAAAAAAAAATAGTGCATCTCAACAAGAGCGCTCGCCTGTATGCTCTCCATCGGGATTACTGAATCTCACACTGACATTTATCAGTCTATAATTAAGATTTTAAACAACTTATTTGAAAGTTAGGAAAAAACATTAATTTAAAAACAATAGATATATCTAATTTAGTCAGCAGACATTTTAGCAGTGATTGGACCAAACCTATAATCCAAGTTTGAGTCTACTTGAATTTGAGATTAGTAATGATTTACTTGCTTTTGTTTTTAAATTCTTAAAAAATGATTAACTTATATAGATAACATTAGTTCACAATTTGTTTTCTGCCACAGAATAAAAATATATTCACTTGCCAGGCAGTTGTGGCACACACCTTTAATCCCAACATTTGGGAAGCCAGCCTGGTCTACAGAGTGAGTTCTAGAACATCCAGGGCTCTTAGACAGAGAAACCCTGTCTCAAAAAACACTTACAGTAGACTTATGTGATTGTCTCTCCTCCAAAGATACCTACTGTTAAAAGTTAAAGAGTCTCCTGGCTTAGATTACATTCAGAACCCCCACATCATCTCACAACAGCTTTGTACCCCAGCTAGGGATAAAAGTGTGGAAACTCACATTTCTGCATCCATCACAGGTTCTGCATCACCAAGTTTAAGTACACTGGAGATCTTTGGCATCACAATAGTCAGAAAATCCTGGGAAATAAAAGTTTTTATTTTTTTACATTATAAACAGTGAAAATGTCATGACGAAACCATCTTGTAATCCAATATATGTTAATATAAAGTACATTATTTTAAAAGGGGTTCTTTTTTTAATGAAAGTATAAGAAAAATCTTGGAATGCCTGAATGATCTCTAGAAGTTAAGAGGTTGAACTCTTCACAGAATTGAACTTGCATTGTAGAAACTTCTTTTGGAAGATAACTTAAAACTTAACAGTACAAATTGCTCCCTTACGTTCATTTTGGTTATCTTAGGCTTTTTCTTTTTTCTTTTTTTTTTCCTCTGTGTAGCCTGTCCTAGAACTTGCTCTGTAGACCATGTCTTGAACTCACAGAAATCCACCTGCCTCTGCCTCCCAAGTGCTGGGATTAAAGGTGTGCCCCACCACTGCCTATTCTATAGAGAATCTAAAACGTTTATGACTAAATTCACAAATGGATAACTTAGTCTTTGTCTTGTAGCTTTTCCAAATTGTTCAATTACAGTTGCCAGCTGTCATACTTCATGTAGGGATTATATGCATATAGTCCCCAGCTTAGAAAAAAGACCAACACTTGTCACATTCCTGTACTGCACTCCCAAAGCCCTGATCCTGCGAGTCTGCCTGAAGATGGTATACAGGTGACAAGCTATGCAGATATCTGTCCCCTGTAGCTTCCTGGCTCAGGATCCTTTATGCTGGTCTCTCATCTTGTCAGAAGGACCTGGGATGGGGTCAGAGATCTGAGTGATGAAGACCCAAATTTGAGTTTGCTATCTTGAGCCACCATGAAGCAGCAGCTAGAGTTTTTGGTTTTATTTTTTTAATATTTATTTATTTATTATGTATACAATATTCTGTGTGTATGTCTGGAGGCCAGCTCTTTACAGATGGTTGTGAGCCACCATGTGGTTGCTGGGAATTGAACTCAGGACCTTTGGAAGAGCAAGCAATGCTCTTAACCACTGAGCCATCTCTCCAGCCCCAGCAGCTAGAGTTTTGAATTCTAGGAACATTCTGGACTTTTAATCATGTTTTTTTTTTTTTTTTACCCCAGTAAGAGAAAATTTTACTTCAAAAAGAAAAGGTGTCTCTCATACGTTTCATAAAAATTTGTTTAGTTTTTGTTTCTTTGGGTTTTTTGTTTTGTTTTTTGAGACAGGGTTTTACTAAATATTTAGCTTAGGAAGGCCTCAAATTCCAGATCTACTTTCTTCAGCTCCCCAAGTACTAGGATGTCAGGAGTGGGTCACACCTTGCAGAAGCTACTGAGTTATAATTTGGAATGAGACTCAGGATACCTGAGTCTACTTGCTGTTTCTTTACTGAGACAGGGTCAGGCTAGCCCCTCCTGGTCCCTACTTTCTCAAGTGCTGGAATTACAGGGACACGCCACCATGTCTGGTTCTACTTCTGACTTGCTCCCTGGATCAGTAGGATGGCTAAATAAACTCCTTCTGTGTTCCCTATCAAACAGAAAATACTTCTATAGTTACAGCTTTTGAAGAAGAGTTAAGCTATGGGAAATGAAAATGCTAGTAGCTTAGTGTAAGTGTTCAAACAGACTTGTTTTTCAGGCACTTCTGTAGCATAAGTAGGCATTTCAAGTTTAGTACTGTGTGGCATGTTGGAGAGCAGGAGTCATCCCAACTATTCTGGTACTTTTAGCATAGACTTCACCGCACTAATTAGTTCAGGAAACTCTGTGTTCTGAAAGTGACCACGGTTGGTGAATTTGTACAATTTGGCATCCAACCTATTTGCCACTTCTTCTTGTTCCTTCCAGGGAAGGAAGGGGTCATCAGTGGAGCCAAACTGTACAATGTGAGGGCAGTTGGCCTTGATCTTCTCCCACTGCCAGGGGCGGCTGAAGTACCCTACAGAAAAAAAAATAGCCTATCGATATGCATGAATCATCATCCTAGATATCTAAAACTATCTAGTGGGGGCCCTCACAGAGGTGCAAAGGATCAGGGGCTTAAATTCAGGACAGTTCTTTGGTTTTCCTATCTGTAGGACTTGATACCATACTGACTTGCGAAGACAAAGAGGCTCGAGTAAAACCAGGTCCTGGGATTCATTCTAGACTTCAGATTGGAAAAAAATAGGTGGCAAATGTCTCACTTGCTATTATATAATATAAATATAAATTTGCTGTTATATTTTTAGGGCTATCTGAGAGAGAATAACAACTTTGTAAACTTGGCAGTTTATCCCGTGCCTAGGGAAGGGCTTTCCTGGGTGTTCTCCCTAAAGACTTACCACTTGCACGCTCGTTTTCATCTCCCAAGTCTGAAGTGTATGCAGACACCAGTATAAGAGCATATACCTGATGTGTCTCTGCATACCTGGCATGAGAAAGATAGTGTCAGTAATATATGGTCTTATTAAATCTGAAAAGCAGTAAGCCATCTGATGTGAGTTCACAGAAAGGAGGTATATGCTACCGAGACAGATGCAAGCAAGAAAATAACCGCTGCTGTGTGCACTCATCCACCTTTAGTGTGTGTCTACATTCCGATGAGATCCTAGACTCAGCCCCAGAGCATGGAATTCAGAGAAATGGGATTAAGGCCCAGGAACCTGCAATGTAAGAAAAACTGGACAATGCAAGAAAAGTACTTCCGCTGCCCCTGTACATGTGTTCTCATTGTGTCGTATTACAACTGTCCCCACGCCCAAATGATCACTGTCTCCTTACGGGTCGGAAAAGCCTTAATGCTCTGTGAACAGCACCCTCTGTAGGCCACCAGCCCACTATCTACAGATGCCCTCTCTCTGCCAAGAGCAGGCCAAGGAAATACTGAGACCTTTGAAGAGGAAACGTTTAGGGCTCGAATTTCATTCTTGAAAATAAAGTTCTCCCACCCCCTACCTGCTTACTCAAGAAATATCAAACCACAGAAGACATGACAGGAAAAGCCCCACCCAGACTGATTGAGGTTGCTACCCTTTACACTTACCTTAGTACAAGTCCCCTACGAATAACCTTAGTACCATTATCATACCCAATCATATACCGCTGCCTATATTCTTTATAAAGTTCAGGTCAGTTCCCTAAGCTAAATTCATTTTCTCACAGTTAAACTGAGATTATATATTTTTGGCAAGAAAGCCTCGTCACTTCAGGGACACATGATGTGTGTCCCACTATCAATGGTACTGTTTGATTGCTTGGTAAGGTGTTCCCAGCACTTTCCATTGAGAAAGATCAATATCCCTTAGTAGTTAATAAATCAGCTAGCATGTCCCGTATGATTGTACCAGCTCCCCGTTTCTTCACACCTTTACACTGATGGTTTGCGCATCATTTTTCTTTGCCACTCCTAACTTTAGAAGCCAATTTTTAGAAGGCTGCTGACAATGCTGATGAATTCAGAGGACTTAGAAGATATCCATCTTTACCAATGGCTGGTAAACAAAAGGACAGAGTATGCTACAACCCATCCCCTTGATCTGTGTAGCTGAAAGGTCATAAAATGTGGCAAGATTCCATGACATACAATTCGCATGATATTTTGAATGACTGCTTGGAACAGACAGAAGGAAATATGGAAGAAGCCCAACCTGAAACAGCTTGGTCAGCTAATCCCTTACCCCCTAGGCCAGTGAGGAAGGTAGGAGATTTTGATAGAAGCAAATGTGTGTACTGTGAATGCCAAGGATTGAGGGAGGGGTTGTAGGTAGGTAGGGGAAGCAACCTCTAGTCTCCAGGAGGTACTTATTGAACATCTACTATGTCACACTCCCTCCTAGGCACTGCGATTCCTTGTCAGTGAACAAAGTCCCACCTTCATGGAGCTTCTATTAAATTAATAGGGGTAGATAAGAAATCAATGTATATTAGATGATAAAGCACTATAGGTAATAAAATACAAAGGAGATAGGAGCCAGCAGAGTGAGACTGCTCTTTTATATGGAATTGTTAAAGATCTCACCCAAAATAGAACATTCAAGCAGAAACATGGTAAGAGAAAGTCAGGCAGCTTTTAAGAGAGTGTCCCTGCTAGAAGGCTGAGCAGGATAAGGAAGGCAGGTGTGTACTTGGCATTTTCCAGGAACTACAATGACATCAGCATGCCTGGTTGGGAGGAGAAAAGGGGTAAAGGGAGACAGAGCTGAGCAACAGGAAGCTTCAGAGCTACAGAAACTTTAAAAGGATCACTGCACCTGGTAAGAGCAATCTGTTTCTTCCAATCCCTTAACAAACAAGGAAGAAATTAGGGCAGATTAGGTTACCACTTTTTAGGTCAGCACTGTTCCTCTGCAATGGAAACTTAAGAAACACAACTATTTCCCCAGCAAGCATGACTACAGACCACACTTGGGGCAGCAGTCCCACAGGGTCATACCTCATGGCTGCGATAGCCCCGGAGCTGTGGCCTATGATGATGGTCTTCTCATCACAGTGCAGTTCTGTCTCCATGAAGGGCAGCCAGATGCTCTCCCGGGCTGTAACTGTGTTCAGGGTAAAACAGTCTGGTACTCAGAGGGGGAGTCTGTAAGTGATGCTGTCCCACCTCTAATGAACAGCAGCTCACCACTAATGAACTGAGGCAGAAGTGGGGGATGGGGCTGTTATCAGAGCCTAAGATCTCTGTCTTAAGGTTTTAGTAAAGAGCTTTGCTTCCCCCACCACGTTCTTATTTAAAAAAAAAAAAAAAAAGGAAATAATACATTACAATTGAGGTGAAGCTTCCCCTCTTTTTCGAGAAAGAGCCTCACTATGTAGCACGGGCTAGTACATAATTTGCTGTGTAGGCCACATCAGAATTCCCTTGTCTCAGGCTCCCAACTGTCAGGTTTAAAGGCATATACCACATACTGACCTCAACTCTGAAATTTTCATGTAAAAATTTAAACTTCGCAAACAAATACCCACAAGGTAGAGATACAGTTCAGAGGCAGAACACTTGCCCAGGATGTGTGAGACCCCTAGGTTCAGTCTCAGTACTGAGAAACACACAAACAAACACACACATACAAAACCTCTTGACAACGTTCTAAAACCCATGTATAGTATATATTTCTTTCCTGAACCAAGATGCACCCATAATAAAAGGAGGAAATCTTATATTTTTAAATATTTAGGAACTCAACTGTAAGGCTTTATCTGTAATTTTACCTACATTTTTGCCTGAAAATGTCTGCAGACATTCAACAGGGAAAATAAAGTTGCTAGCTTACAAAGTAAAAAATTAAATTTTACCATACTCAGGTGCTTTTCTTGGTTCTTCCTGAAATCTTCCATAGTTTTTGGCTTACACCTGCCTCCTGGAGCTCCTTGCTTTATTTGTTCTTAGTATGTATTTATCTTTGTTCTTTCACTATGATACTCCAGCTTCCCTCCCCTCACCCCCAGATGGTGAGCTCAAACTCTAATGGATGAGGCTTTCAAAAGCAAGTTTAAAACTTACTTGGGTCAGGCATGTTTCTAGCCAGACACTGGAAACCCGGAACCTGAGATTTAAGGGGGAAGAAAAAGCTATAATAAAGAGCTTACTTCCAACTAAAACTCAAAAAAAAAAAAAAAAAGTGACACCTGATGTGATCTTGCTCAGTTCAGTAAGTATTTGCTGACTGTGAAATGAGATGGATTAAACTATGTTACAGATGAATATACACGCATGTTTTGTAGAACTCCACAGGGACCTGTGTCTACGCTTGGAACCTGCTTATCCTTAGGGCCTCCATCTACGGAGAAGGCCCAAGCAGATGTGCTAGAGATAGAATGACCTGAGCCAAACAGACTGCACTCCGAAAAAAATTAAAAAATAATATAGATACACCATAGAGACAGTTGGGCATCCCACCCTGCTGGCCATTTCCAGCTGGACCTTTGAAAGCTTTGCCCATAGCTTTCAGCCGCAACCCCGAAGTTATATTCCAAACGGACTCTATTTTCTCCTGAAATTCTGTTCTAGAGGCCAAAGCAGGAAACTGTCTAACTGCCAGACGATGGAAGGGAGCTTCTTTTCTTAAAAGGCAAGCAGCACAGGATGAGCCAGGGTGCAATGCTGTTTCTATAAAGCTCACACAGAAGCCAAATTCAACAATATCATACAAGATTATACACATGGGTTCCTGAGTTCGATTCCCAGACCCATGTATAGGTAGAAAGAAACTGGTTACACAAAATTGTCTTCTCACCTCCACAAGCACCTCCCACATACAATAAAGAGAAGCAAAATGTACTACAGACTGTCATAGGGATGGGGCAGGAGGCAGGCAGATCAGTTAGAAGATACTGGCAATGTTCTAGAGTTTAATTTGGGCGAAGAGTGTAGCTCAATGGCACACAATCAAAGACCTTGGGCTTGAATAGCACCGATTTTTTTTTTTTGGTCTGTTTGGTAGCGTATTACACGTTATATACATCCTTTGTATATATCAAAGGTTACGTGGTGAATTTTTTTTTAAAAAAAAACTAAAATAATGAATATAAACATAAAATTATCTGGGAAGGCTCGAATCTGAACTGGAAGTAGATTGGGGTAGGGAAGGGGCACTCTCTGTATAACAGGGTTCTTCTCAGTCTCAAGAACTGAGACCTCAGCTTTTTGGGCTGCTTCGCCAGGCAAGATCCTCGCCACTAGTTTAGATCTAAGGCTTGAGGTGCTAGCATCGTCGAGTACTCATACACTATGCTCATCTGGAGGAAGGTGGGCACAGGCTCGAGCCTCGCCCATCGTCCTCCCTCCCTCCGCTCCGCGCCAAGCTGACCGCAGGGCAGTGGCTGAAATTCCTTACCTGCTCCAGTCCCTTTCTCACCCAGCCGTACCAGCCCTGGGTGGCCACATCCCCGCCTCCGTTCCCGGGAACAATCACTGCCTTGCTAGGTGACGCCATGAACGCTGTCGCCGGAGACCCCTGCCCAGCTCGGAACTGCAGTGCTCAAATCGAGACTGCATCCGGCCGGGAGCCCGCACTAAGGCCTTCTGGGAATTGTAGTCCTTGGATGCCCACAGGTACTCTTCCTTCTCTGTCTAGAGTACAGGCTGCCAAACTTAAACCCCGTGAATTGCCATCAAATATCACTCACCTTTGATTTCCTTTTTTCCAGCGTCCTCATACTCCACGTCCCTTATGAAGTACTGGCAACAATATTCTCATAATGTGCTATCTTATTATTATGGAACTTTCGTTCGTTCAAGACAATCTCATTATGTAGCCCACCCCAACACTGACCTGGGGCTCTCTACGTAGACCAGACTGGCCTAGAACTCACAAAGACCTTCCTGCCTCTGCCTCTTAAGTGCTGGCATTAAAAGAATATGTCATCTTATTCAGCAAAAATTATTATTTATGTGTATGCACACCACATGCACGGGTGTGCCGCAAAGGAGTTTGGAGGAGGGTATTGTCCTCTGGAGATGGAAGTAGTCAAATGTGAGTGCTGGGAATCGAACTCCAGTATTCTGGAAGAGCAGCGGCTACACTTAATGGCTGAATCCCATTTTTGTTTCTTACAATTTTTGTGTGTATGCCACACTGCCGGAGATGGTAGAGCATAGCCCTCCTCCACACGCGGTTCCTGAGATGCAGGAAGCAATTCCCTCCAGGAAACCCAGTGGCAGCTAAATTAGTGCTTTACTTGAGGGCCAAGGAGAAAACACCTACATGCCCCGAGGGCCACTTTCATGGCGTCTGCATACGCATTTCGCAATGTTACAGAGGCTTCTGGTTATAGCAATTCTACTAGCGTACTTGTTCTTCATGTTCCTTTTTCCTTCCACTCCAGTGGCTTCTGAAAAAAAAAAATGGATGTGCTGTACGATAATATGAACCTTCTGATCTGATAGAGCGGGCAGGCTCTAAAGCTGTAAAGCAGGTCATGGGGAAAACTGACTGATGAAAGTCATGGGGGGAATTTGGGGACAACCTGAAGGAATCCGTCCTCTCATTCTACCAAGTGGGTCCTGAACTCAGGTTGTCCAACCCAATTGCTGCTGGCTTTTTTCACTCGTACACAGTCTGGGGCCCTGCCCATGAACTGGAACTGCCCACATTCAGGGTGGGTCTTTCTATCTCGATTAATTAAATGACTAAATGAAGACAGTCTCCTACAGACCTGCCTGCGGGGAACCTGATCTACATGATTCCTCATCAAGACCCTTCTCAGGTGATTCTGGGTTGTGGCTAGTTGACAATTAAAACTAGTGAACACAGAGAGTTATTAATGAAACCAGAGTAGGGAGGAAGAGAGGGAGGAAGGAAAGGACACTTTGCAAAATGGGTGAGGCAGGCAAACCAGGAAAAGAACACAGAACCAGTTGTCTTGAGTCTGTTCCTTGAGGTTTTTATTAAGGTGGGCATGACAAATGCATTCTTCCAAGAATAATGTGAGCCTTGGAAGAGCAATCAGTGCGCTTAACCATTGAGCCATCTCTCCAGCCCCTGGAAGGGTTTTTTTAATGAGGGGAAAGGGAACATAAAAAGGGGGAAAGAAGAGAAGGGAGGAGGAGACTGGGCTCTGGGGACAGAAGCAGTAGAAGAGAAGAGAGAGACAGAGGAGAGAGGAGATAAAGACAGAGAGGTAGGCAGAGAAGGAGAGAGGGGGGGGGAGAGGAGGTGGACAAGACCCTCTTAAAAGTAAATGAAGTGTATGTGCACAGGAGGTGCTCTTAGTGGCTACAGTTGAGGACTTTTCTTGTCAGAACCCCAAGGGCAGGCCAGTACAGATGCATAAATACAGCAGCTCTGGAGGGAAAGGTATCCTGACTTTTTGGGAAGTCAGGCTATGCCTGAAGCTGCGGTGTGGTGGGGGATTGTTTCCCTGCAGGATGTAGCAATCCTGCTCCTCTCAGAGTCAGCACAGCTGAGCTCTGCTCTGTTACCCTAAGGAAACTTCTTAGCAGAGCACTTTTGTGGCCCAAGGTGTTTCTTCAGCTTCACTCTGCTAAAAGGGAAACCCTTGCAGACATGTAGCAATCTCCTCCCCCTTCTCACAAGTTGTTACTCCATGCTGGCAAAAGATCTTAACCCAAAACTCTTAAGAAAGAGATTTATTTGGGAAGGAGGAGTCCAGGAGAATGACTGCCTCTGTCAGGGTGGGCAAGGACAACCCACAACTGAACAGGCACGGGTAGGGGAGCGGGGCTTATATAGGGCTTCTTAGGGATGGAATTTTCCAGATTTTCTGCTCAGGGATTGGTTAGTTTGCCTGGTTAGTTTAATTGATCAGGGGCAGAGGTGGCTCTGGTTTCAGGGCCAAACTGTACTTCTTTCACTGGCCCTTTTTAGCTTTTGGCTCTATTTTCAGGGCCGGGGCATTCTTCTTTCACTGACTCTAGTTTTAGTGCCAAAGTGTATTTCTTTGCTCTGGTTTCAGGGTCAGGATGCATTTCTTTGGTTCTGGGTTCAGGGCTAAAGTGTTTCTTTCACTGGTTCAGGTTTCAGAGCCAGAGTGTGTTTCTTTCAGGGCTACAGTATTTCTTTCAGTAGCTCTGGTTTCTGAATCAGGATGGGTTTCTTTGGCTGGCCCTTTTACCCTACAGTTAGGTTTTCTATTGCTGTAAAGAGATACTATGGCCACAGCATCACTTATGAAGGAAAACATTTAATTGGGGCTAACTTACAGTTCAGAGGTTTAGTCCACTATCATCATGGCTGGAAACATGGTGGCATGCAGGTCTCCTTCTGTTGCCTATGGATCAAGGGTATAGGCAGACCTTTCTGTCCTCCCAGTCACTCTCAAAATAACTACACAGAGACTTAATATTAATTCTTAATGTTCAGTTGATAGCTTAGGCTTGTTTTAGCTAGGTCTTATTAACTTAAATTAACCCGTTTCTATTAATCTATCTGCTGATTTGAGGCTTGTTTACCTCATGTAAGTACTTCCCATCCTTCTAGTTTATCTCCTCTGATTCTGCCGTTCTTCTTCTCTGCATTCTTCTGCCCCCAAAATCCTGCCTAGCTATCAGCAAGTTAGCTCTTAGCTTAATGAGAATACTACATATTTATATTGGACAAAAAGATTGTTCCACAGCTCAAGGGAAAACTCCTGAATCTTGACAGGTGAATATATATATATATATATATATATATATATATATATATATTCAACAAAGGTTACAGCTGGTCTTCACAGGACTTGGTCATTATGTCAACTATCTCAGGGACTCCTAAAGATGCCTATGCCCACACACAACAGGAAACAATCTGAAGACCACGACACCCACATTCCCAAGAAAAGGTGTGGGTGGTTGTTGGTTATTTAGTGGGTTATGAATGTTTGTTATCATTTAGGAGAATACAAAAATATAGGATAAAATATGTTCATATGTATTATTAATTAAATTTATTAGTAAATATTAATTATTAATTAAATTTCTTATTGAATGTTGTAGTGAGAGTGGGTCCTTTTGTTTCATCCCGCCTGGCTAGTTTACACCCAAAATAATCACACAGAAACTGTACCAATTAAATTACTTCCTGGCCCATTAGGTCTAACCTCTCACTGGCCAACTTCCACATCTTAACTTAATCCATCTCCATTAATGTGTATCGCTACTTGACTGTGGCTTACTGGCATGAGTCTAACCAGCATCCATCTCTGGCAGGAGAACTATGGTGTCTGCCTGACTCTGCTCTTCTTCCCAGAATTTTGTTCTGTCTTCTCCGCCTACCTGAGTTCTGCCCTATCAACTAGGCCAAGGCAGTTTCTTTAATGACCAATGAAAGCAAACAAATACAGAAGGACCTCCTATACCATTTCCCCTTTTCTGTTTAAACAAAAAGGAAGGCTTTAACATAGTAAAACTACATATAACCGGTATCAAGCAAGAATTACAGTTACAATATTTAGATCTATTTTGTCCTTTATCATAACAAAGGAAAACTATAACTATCTATTCTTCAACTCCATCAAAGACTCCAGAAGGATCTAATATTACTTAAGTAAACAGGAAGTACATTGTAAGCCACTTCCAAAAACTCTAGAAATGACAGAGACATCTTGCTTCCTGGACAGTCACCCAAAGTTTTTCTGTACCATTGGGGCATTCATCTTCAGCCTACAGGCTCATAATATTCAGCACACATTTTCATAAAGCAGGAAATTTTAAAGACAGTTTAGTCACTTTTTTATGTGTCCTACAGAATGTCTCCCAGACTCTTTCATGAAGCAGGAACCCGGAAGGATCATCATTACTGATGATCACATTAAGGCTTAAATGTTTGGTCCTAGAAGGTGAATGCTAAGTAGAGGGACTGTTCTTCTAGCTTTCTCTGCTTCTTTCTAATAATTTTCAGTTCTTCTTTCTGATTTACTCAGGCTGGCTAGTTTATCCCCCTCCTCTGATAGTAACAACAATCAGAAAATTGGTTTTATCAACCATTTGATAATCATTCTAAGGAAACTAATAGTTTATAGGTGAAAGGTGACCATAAGTCTAGTTTAGTAGTGTTCTCTGATAGTCTCGGTCAGTCTGACTGTCTCGGTCATTCTATACGACTCCCATACTGACAAGGAAGAACAGCATCGTCTTCTCTATGGTACCAAACTCTTCTATGTTTCCACGCTTCTTTTTGATGCGGGGATGAGACTGTACAACTAAAGTTGTGTGTTCTTTATATGTCAATGTGTCAGGCTAGAAGGAAAAGAGGACTCACACCCATTGCTACGAGAGGACAGGAGATATTGCTACCTTTGTCAAAGCTTCTCTGGGGTTGTAGATTGTAGGCTGGTTATCTTTTGCGTTATACCTAATATCCAGTTATGAGTATGCACATACCATATTTATCTTTCTGGGTTACCTCACTCAGGATGGTTTTTTCCATTTTCGCCCATTTGCCTGCAAATTTCAAGATGTCATTTTTTAAAAACTGCTGAGTAGTACTTCATTATGTAAATGTACCACATTTTCTTTATCCATTCTTTGGTTGAGGGGCATCTAGGTTT